ACCGTGGGCCAACTCTGCTTTCTCCATCAGTGCTACCATGGAAAAGGAGAAAGGCTGATGAAATTCAGCCCTTTCTGTTGGGAAATGAGAATTTCTCTCGGTAAGGCAGAAGTGAAGTCACTATTGCCAGCTGCCCATCAGGCTGCAAAAGCAGCACGTCCCCCATGCAGGGCTGAGAACTTGATGTGGGAAAGGAAGGTCATCCCCTCCCAGCCCCTGCTATAGTGCTTAAATAACAGGAGTCATCATTCAGTTCTCCATCAAGGTATATTGACACAACAAAATAAAACGGCTTCTCAGGCTACACCCCCACCTCTGAACCCACAGCACATCCTTCCCCTGTCAAAGCTGCCGTGTTCATTTGATGAGTTGCTTCTGGCTTGCACCTATGCTGCTCTTACTCAGTCCTGTGGTTACACTCAGCTACTCCCCTTCCAGCTGTCGGGGTCGGGGGGAGCAGAAGGGCCCCCCCAATGCACACTTCATCACCAAAGCAAGCTGGGCTGTGCCGGCCACCCCATCCCGTTAGCCGAGGAGGGAGCGAACATGGAGAGACAAGGGATAAAGCCATCTCCCTTGTCCTTCCCTCCCCCCTTCCCGGGCAGAGGAGAGAAGCAGAAAGCATATCCTATTTCATGCCTCTGGCATGTGGAAGTCAGAGCATTATTTTGTAATAATCTTATTATTAAGGACCAGATGATGATGGCTGCTGACGAGGCGCCGTTCGGAGGAGCCCCATCAGTGGGCTCATTGTTGGTGCTGCAGCTCTGCCCGGGCGAGATGAAGGCAGCCTTTCTCCGGCAGCCCCGCGCCGCCCGGCCAGCGGGTCTCGGGGTCCCTCAGTGGGGTCTCCAGAGGGACAGCGTAGGGTCACAGCAGGGCCACAGGCTCAATATTTGTCTAATAACAACCCCAGCCTGGACTGGAAAACACAAAGGGCACGGTTGTGGAGTTACTCGAAATGCCATGCAATGCCAAAAGAGCTGCTTTTTGCCGTGCGACAGAAAGCAGATCCCTTCTCCCCTTTTATTTCACTTAAAGAGTAAAGCCTTTGTGGTTTTGATTTTTTTCCCTCCGTTTGCCTAGTTTTAAAAAGTCAAATCCCCTGGTCTCAGGTAGCTTTATCTTAGATGGCTATTTTTCACATCAATCAAGACACCAAACAAAATGGGCCCCTCCCTGATGAACATACTATTGGCATCAGGCTTACAGTTTTGATCTTTTAAAAGCCATTTTGAGGGCTTTATAAAGGTCCTTAAGCTTTTTTGAGCTTTGTGGAGGCCACCTGGGAGGGAGCTCACCCTGCAATACACAGACAGTGGGTTGCTAACAGACAGACCTGCCTTCCCAAGAGACAGTTTTTCTGGAGCTGCAGTTGGACATTTAACCACCTACCAACCAAGGGCAGGAGACAGATAGATCTACTCCTGTGGCCTCACCAATAACTCAGACCACCCAGCATCCTCCTTGGCATTTAGGATCATGACCTCAAAGGCTGCACTCTAATCATCAACTTAAGAGTGCAGGGGGGTCCCAAACATTCAACCCCTCCAGTTGGGCTGTCATCACTTTCAGCAGCATGGGGAAGTTTCATCCAGATGTAGGTGGCTCTGGGTTCAGCATCTCAGCCATAATCACTCCATCCTTAGCTCCAGCATGCAGGTTTTGTGTGGCCACATGTGATGTTAATGCATGAGCTCTCTTTCACCAGAGCTCCTGCCTGTTGTGGCAGCTGAGCAGAGCAGCACCTCAGGTACACTGAAACAAGAGTAAGGGTGTAGTGAAACTGACCTCAAGGGTCATGCAACAAAAAAGGGATTTGTCCTCTTATCACTGATATGCCCAGAGATGGTGTACCTGCTCTGCTGTGCTCTCATGGGTTGTGTGTTTTGCCCCAAGTTAAATACCGTGCTACGGCTCAATTAGCATCATGCTGGTCACTGCTGGGATGGAACAGGATTGCAGCAGCAATCAGCTTTCATTTGAAATTTAAAGTGTAAACATGTTGCCTATGTAAACAGAAAATGTGTGTGTATATATAGACAGAGTGACTGTGCACGCGTGTGATAAAGGTAATAATTTTCTGAAAGCCACACCTGGTGGTGATGTGTCAAGGGTCATCAGAGAACTTTAACTGTGAAGCTCGCTCTCTGTGGCACCAAACATACCAAACGACAGGTACTACCTCCTTCATCATCGTCAAGGAAAGCTGACCAGCCTCACTACGTGCTGTGGAAGAGTCTCCAAGGAGCGGGGTGGGGAAGCACCTAATTTTAGAGTAAACGGGGTGGAAACGGGAGCTGGAGGAAGGGAAGCCCCCGTCTCTGCTGGTGTTGCCATCGTGCCTCATGTGCCAGGGCACCCCCCCTGGAGACAGACCTTCCTGCGATGCGTAGAAACCAGGCTAAGGGAAGGCTTTGGAGAGTCTTATCGCTCTTCGGGCAGTCACAGCACTGAAAATATGAATGTGTTACACAGAAGACATGAAACAAATCCAAATCTGTGTCAGGAGATGATTTTATAGGGCTCCCATTGTGTCTGAACTTATCAAGCAAAGCCTTCATTTCCAATCCGATCCAAAAATCACTGAAGCCCAACGCAGCCTGTTCACTGCTTCAGGAGACTTTGGAGTGAGGCCTTTCTGAACCATGGAGGGAAAACATTTTGGAAAGGAAAAGAAATACATTATGTTAATTGCGCAAAACATTTTCAGCAACCCTTAGAAATGAGCACATTTACCTGCAAGCTGACAAAGGGGTTTTAGGTACTAGTTAAAATTCAAAAGAGATTTCATTACAAATCGAATCATTCATGCAGTAGCAGAGCAGTTTTGTCTTTTCATTTCCCCTCAAACATTTTGTGCTGCCCAGAACACTTTTGTATTCATTTTTGCAAAATTAATGGCCAGGTCAACTTTCAGCAGGAATCACGGGTGAGAAATTCAGGAGGGAGAGGTGAAGCTGGAGGAAGAAAGTGGAAGCCCTTTCCCCAGTAGAAGTAACAGAACACTCAGGAAAAAAAACCACAAATTAAAGACAACTAGCATGAAAGGACCTAGACACTTAAATGAGGCAGAAATGAAGGTTATCCTACAGGCTCATTTCAAGTAGCTCTAAGCAGTTGGAACTTTTTTACAGCACCTCTCCTGCCATGATTCATGTTTACCAAGGCCACAAGCGATGGCCACTGGGGTCACATACCCAGCCTGGCTGCCACCGAGCATGAGTCACCTTGTGCCACCCCTTGGGTGGCAACTGAAGGATGGGGGCCACAGTCACCACCCCAGCAGCAGGAGGTGGCTCTCACAGACCAACCAGCACAGCCTGAACTCCACCAGCACCAGCAACATGTTGACATGAAAACAGGGAGATGATGTGGGTAAACACGCCTGCTTCAGATGGTTTGGGGTGCCCTTTCTCCAGGGGAAAAGCCTGACTGCCTGTGTCCTGCTGCATGGTGGAATTATTTGCAGCTGGAGGGAAGCAGAGTGTTTTCAGTGGTGGAGGGTGGACAGTGGGGACAACAGCTGGGTTCACCCCATAGAAACACCAGGCAGGGCTAAGCCTGTGCAGGTTTTGCTCTCAAGCTTTCTCTGAAACAAAGGAAGACCAAACCTACCTCAGATCTTTGCACAGCAGCACCCTGTTGTATGTAGCTCACCCCACTTCCTGTGGAAGTTCTATGACGCCTGTCCCTGTGGGTTTCAGCAGTGTGGAGGGAGAAAAAGAGAAAAATTTTAGATAGTACCCATCCTATGAAGAATGCTACCCCAGGCACCTTCCTCCTGGTCTCCCACGGCATAGCTGCACATCCCAAACAGGCCCCAGACAGCTTCATTCTCACGTGAACACCAGAAGCCATGAGTGACCACCACTGAAGAGCATGAGCAACCTGCTCCCTGTTGAGCCCACCTCTCCCAGTGCCTTCCTGCCCAATTTAATGCCAGAAGTTTTCTCTTTGGAGAAATTGGACATTGTGGTGGGTCAAAGACAGGAGTAAGCAGAGCCAACAGCATGGGGAACAGCAGCAACGTGTGGTGCTCATCAGACCAGGACACCACCACCAGCACTTCAACAGTGTGGCTTTTCCAGCCAGGATTGTATAAAATATCTTGCCCTCCAGCTGAAATAATTTTGCCGGCAACCCTCCCAGTCTGCAGACAGAGCTGTGCTGGTGGGAGAGAGCAGCTCTTGGTTTTGCCTGAACTAGGAGGTGGCCTGATGATAAGAGGAGAAAAACCTGCTCGTTTATCACCACATTGCTCATGGGTGGTGGAGTCAGTGACACAGCTGTGCTCACAGGGCAAGAGTGGCAGCAGCTTCTCCTGTGCAGAAAGGCCCCAAGCTTGAACTGATCCCAACCCATAACCCAACAGAGGTCCTTCAGGAAAGGACCTTCTGTTACTGTAGAAGAGTCCTTAGTAGCCTACATGAAGCAACTAGTTTCACCCATTTCTCAGTTGAAATGTGCCTGTAGCCTATGTTAACTCAATGGCTACTGTATCAGTGCGGTCAAAGACTGATTTTTCAGGCTTCCACATAGACCTTCCAAAAATTCATGACTGCTGGGCAGTTTTGTTTTTTTTTAAGAGGGGGGAGGAGGGGGGGGAGGTTCAAGCCAACAAACATGCAAAATCAAAGCCAAACAGGGAGACAAATTCTCTACCCTGATCCTCTGCTCCTTTCCAACTCTGTTAGACCATCTTCATAGCACCAGAAGGAGACTTTTAAAACAAAAGTTGCCTGAGACAGCGCAGGGAACAGCTGGCACTGGAGGGCTTTCCTCTCTCCAGCTGCAGCAGATCCTGGGGAGAAACCTTCAGGCTTGACCTTCAGGGCTCTCTACCTGCCTCAGCACTGGTATCCACCTCCTGCTGGAGCTGTTTTGGTCAGAGTCCTTCTGTTACTTCACCCTGTTGCGGCAGGAAAGTTCAAGGTGTCCTGGCAGCAGGGAGTTCCTTTGCTCCACCCTCTGCCCTGCACACCGGCTCTCCGGGCTTATCCAGGGTTTGCTGAAACAGAGCTGCCGGCGACGGTGACCTGATCCGTGTGGCCACCCGGGTGGGAGCTGGACCCCCAGCATGAAGCACTTCTCCAGCAAGCCCTGGGCAGCCTTCGCTCTGCTCTTCTTCACCATCACGCTCCGGTATTCCTCCTCAGCAGGTATTTCTCTTCTCTTATGCTCCAGTTTCTATACCCTGCCTTCTCCCTCACTCCTCTCAACCCTAAATATATTGCCCGCTGGCAGTAATTTATTCTTTAAAAACAAGGTGGGCTCCCTTGCCTCATCTAAAAAGTGTAAAGAGCTGCAATTGATTAATGCTAATGAGAATTACTTGACATGATTGATCACAGCATCTTTCCAAAGAGATGTGCTTTTGCCAGCTATTTACACACCCACTGTAAATGCGACTGAGCTGCAGGTTGCTCCGCTGAATGGCAAGGAGAAAGGGGACCACAGTTACTTGGTCTTCCCGTGTTTGCTGAGGCAGGGGACTATTTGAAACACCACCCAAGAGGCTCACTGTAGTCTAGTTTAGCTCTCATTAGGTGCTTTTTGCAGAAAATTTGGCTTTGGTGCCCCCTTAATTGTAGAAGCTGCCTAAAACCAAAATGTAACTGAGACCTGTGAGCTGCTCCTTTCCCATCAGGCTACTGCCTGAGTTTGTATATCAGCACCAGTTGAGACCTGCCAGATGTTTAAAGATGGGTTAGCTTTGACAGCCTGTCCTTCGGGCTGCAAAGTCTATAAACACGAACCAGCACTCTGTATTCTGCAGCACTTTCTTCCACAGGTTGTACACAGTTTTTAATGATTTTTCCTAGTGCTCCTGTGAGGTATTTATTAACCGAGAAAAGAAATTATGGGCTTGGCGAAGGTCATTCAGCACATTCTAGCAGAGTCAGAAAGAGGAATGGGGAGTACTAAGACCCTCCCCTGGAGCGGGCTGCCCGGGGACCCTCTCCCAGTGTGGCAGTGGCCATAAGGAAAGCTCTGGTCTTGCTGACGGTCAGTCAGCTCAAAATGCAAAGCTGGGCAACAGCAGGTGACCCCAAGGGGGACATCTCCTGTAGGGCAACCTCAACTTATTTGCTAGCAAATTGCTTGGAAAATACCAAACTCAAAGCAAAGGTTTGCTCTTGTTCTGGGTTGGTTTTGTTTTTTTTTTTTTTTTTCCCTGAGCTGAAACTAAATCTGAGCCATTGTTTTGAAATCTTCAGTGAAGTCAAGTTGAAACTGATCTTCTCTCTCTATCACACTCCAAACTGTCAGCTCAGAGTGATGGCTTGACTGGAAATAGTTCTCTCACAGCCTCTGCCTGGTCTGTGGACCAGCAGCACGCTGGAGCCGCTCCTGCTGCATGCAGTGGGAGCCCTTGCTCCTGTAGCTTCTCCAGGACGTTTTTCATGGATCTCTTCAGGGGACCATTTCAGCATGGGATACTTCATCTGCCTGAACTTGAACTGTACTGCTCGTAGTGGCACAGGTGGAGATATTTCTTTGACTCCCTTCCTTCTGCAGCAGGGGAAAGGCAGGTGTTAATACACAGGGACCACAGCAGCCTCTGCTTTTTCCACGCAGGTGTCCTGCATCTGATCTTGCAGTGCTGAAGCTGAGGGGCCAGGCGGGTATTAGAAGGTCTGAGGAGGCCTGTGATACCAGGCTTGGAGTCCTAGAGACCAGTCACAGCACTGTGCTAGAGTGCACATGTGCTTTGATTCTGGGTAGAAAGCAGGACAAAGAGGCAAAATCTTCACTGAAGCCCCTGTCCCACCACCTCACTGATTTCTGTATGTTGTATTTTCCATTCTGAGCCAGTTAATGGGTTTCAGACACAGGTGCATCTGAACTGCAGCAAAGCCAAAGCTTCCCACTGAGGCTGTGGTGGATCTGCTGAGGTTCTGCACTGATGGGCTCAGCCCTCAGCTTGGCCAGACTCCTTCACACCTCACAGAGCCAAAGGGCAAAAAGAGGTAGATGTACAATTATCTGGCCATGGATCTCACCATGACACTGAATACTCTCTCTCAGTTCAGTCCTTGCTCCTTCTGCCCATGTAGCTTCGGAAAGGACGGTAGTTAATTTGAGCTCTGAGTGAATGGTTCCCACCAAGGTCATACCCAGGCAGAGGGATCCAACTGCTCCTTATGGCTGGTGCTACAGCAGGTCTCTCTAGAGCCTATGCTGACAGTGGTGGAGTCAGGAAGCATTCCCTGAGGCAGAAACTTATTTTCTCCAAGTTGTTTCCATCCTACAGACTCCAGCGAAGACAATGGCTTTCAGATTTTCATGCTTGATGCCTACTATTGCTTTTCTAATCCAACTTGCCTTTTCTCCTGTGCTTTCCTTCCGGCAGCAGCTGAAGACGTCTCCAATGTTTCATCAAGCTCCAAGCTCACAACTGAGTACGAACCACCATGTCTTAGTAAGTCTTCATAAATCATTACTGACATGATAAAGCCAGGTGCTGAGTCCACACAGATGACTGAGAGGCTGTCCTGGAAAAGGATTTATCTGTTGTCAAGGCTTCCATTGTGGCTGGAACTCTAGGATGCATTTCTATGACTCCTCCACTGGCATGCCCTGTATATCTTAGGTACATTCAGATGGATTCATAGCATTAACAGACTAAGCGTATAGCTACTTCAATTTGTGTATCCTAAAGTTCCCTGACAGACTGACAGCCTGTAGGCACAATGTGGACTCATGTGAGCACCTCCTTTCCTCACCCCACCAGGTCTTCCCAAACAGACAGTCCCAGGCAACTTGAGACCCCACCAGCCCTCCCAGATTCACCTTCCATCCCAAATGTCCAGAATCCCCACAGTTCTGCACTTCCCAAAATATAGGACATGTACCAATAGAAGTACGCTACTTCAAAGCATGACATGGGGGATTGGGGTCAGGCATCCCTCCCTCTTCCCTCGGCAGATACTAAACATGTCTCTTTGGTTGTGGGAATAGCTTCTCTCCACAGTGCAGGACAATTGTACTGTGTGCACTGAAAGCCAATGCACAGGAACATGGTCCTGCCTGACACACGTGAATGAGACCAACTGAGCAGCACCTGCACTTGCCTCTTCCTTGGAATGGTGCAAAAGACTGATTGCCCTGCACCAAGCTCAGAGGGCATTCACTTTTCACAGCTGACAAGCCTGGTGCACACCAACACACAACAGATGGAGCTGCAAGGTGGTTCTAGCTGCCTCAGCTCTCACAGGTGCTGGGGTTTCATGATCAGCTTCTATTCCACCACAAGAGGTTGAGATACTATGGTCCTTCAGGCTCCCTTTGATATTTCTGCATTACCACCCAGGATGCAGACACAGAGATGGGTATCTTCACTGTGCCCTAGTGGTGGAAAAAGTATGGTAGATGCTTTAAATCACAGCAAAAATGAAACAACTAGTGACATATTCCTTAACTGATAGGAAGAAATTGGATTGATTTGAGAAAAAAAAAATAAAGATGCAAAAGGTGCAAGAAGAAGAATACATGGAATCGCTAAAAATTAATTATTGTTAAAAATTATTTAATTTTTAAATATGTAGAGCAGAAATCCCCCAATGGTGGTGTGTTTTGTAGGTGTTACACACAAGTCACAATTAACAGCCCACCAAAGAGCAGCCACTGCTTCTATTGCTGGAAAAGGTATCGAGTACCTAAACCATTGGACATCCTGCTGCAGATGTCTCTGTTAGACATCCTCTTACTCTCTTACATGAAGATTTCTTTGCCCTGGGTTAATTTTTAATTTTAACTAGGTACTTCTATCATACTCTGTTGCTAAAAATGACTGAGCAGATGGTAAGTAGGTGTTCAAAAAGACTTCCATAATGGTGGGCACAGCAGTTAAGAGGAACAGCTCAGGTGTTTGGCCAGACAGGAATGACCAAGTCTTGAAGACATAGAGGTGACACTGAATATTGCCATCCCCCAGGTTAAGAGCCAGGTTCAGGAGAGAGATGCCAAGGCAGGCTGATTTCCACCAGCCTTCTGGCAAAGGAGACCTGTTACATACGTGGCCTCCCATCAACTCATTTGGTTTCTTTGCCACCAGACGTGAACTTCTGCCCACAAGCGGCCCTGTGCTGCCCATCGGGTATGGACGACTACGGATGGATCGCAGCAGCCGTCGGCTGGAGCCTCTGGTTTCTGACTCTCATCCTGCTCTGCGTGGACAAGATCACAAAACTCCGGCCTGACGAACCCAAATATTTGGTAGCCTGAAGCAGGGCAAGACAGCAAGCACCCGGGAGCAGTGGGGTGCAGTCTGACAGAGCATTTCAATCACTTCCTAAGAAACAAAAAAGAAAGGGAATGTACCTTCAGCTAAAAAAGGTCAGATCTAAGTGGGGCACCTGCTGGGCCTTCACGCTCCATGGCAGGTAAAGAGCTGTCAGGCAAGGTGTGGAGCAGGCAAGTCCCTCTAAGCTACCACATGTGTCCCACAGTGCACAGAAATCCTTTTCCCTGAGCCCTTCCATGCCCATTGCGAGTGCAGCACCAGCAATGAGACCCTGAAGGACCAGCTACCAGTCTACAGGATATTGCCTTAGGACAACCCAGTACATAACCTTTGCCTTTGAAACAGAAAGTGGGCAAATAAAGCTATTTTCTGGAGGATCAGCATTACCAGATCCACTACTAAGCTATGGGGCCAGGTTACAGCAGTATATCAGGTGTAACTCATTCATTATACTGAGTCCCTTTCACTTGCTCACCTGCAGCGAAAACTCTGTTATGGAAACTTCAGAATTACTTGGGCTAGTTTGAAATTAAAACTAATTTTTTTTCAGTGCAGTCTGTATGTGAACTGTTTTGTAGGAATTGAAAGTTTATTCAGCTTGCACCTGCCCATGTAACAAACCCAAGCCGAACCGTGGCAGGCAGGTTTAAACCAGCATACCAATTCATGCACAAAACTGCTCCTATTTATGCAAGATGATAATAAACATCCTTATTGATGGAAAAATTCTCACTGACTGATTTATATTGATAAAGCTTATATTGGCAAGGAATTACCAAACCCAAATTGTTAGAAACACGATTCTAACAAGAAATATTCGTTCAGAAGGGTTTGCCTCACTGCAGTCAAACTGTCTGGTTGCACCAGTTTGATTTCTATCCATTATTAAAACAGTAAATCAGTGTTAAACCCATCTAGACATACACAGGATCAACAAACCTTCTAGAGACCAGCTGAAATGAAACATAAAAAGTTACTCTTCAACCAAAGAAAGCTCTATTGGAGATTTGTATCTATTAAATATCATTAAAGCCTCCCTTCAGCTTATCAACGCATAACTTTCCCAGTATAAAAAAGATAAAGATCAGTTTAAGACTCTTCAAAATTGATTCTGGCACAACCAGACACTTCGATCAGGACAACGCTGTGCAGTTTCAGAGTGATGGACAGTCCCCCCTTATCAACCATCCACCATCAACAGGAACAGGTACAAGTTAGACACTGAGGGAAAGACATCCTTCCCTATCATTAGGATCACTGGACACAGAAAAACCTTCCAGAGTGAAATGCCGAGCAGAGACACTAGTGTCAGGAAAGAAAGTTTTTAAAGGGAAGGGCTTAACTCTTTTGTGTTTTCTTTACTGTGTGTGTTTTGTTGGGTTGTTTTGTTTTTTTTTTCTTTTTACATGTGCCATACCACTACTAGTAAACAATCACAAAGTATTGCTCAAGTAAGAAAAAAAATCCCAACATACAACCATTAAAATGAAAGTAATTTTCACAAGACAAATCTCCACATTGGACAAGTCAACTACTTTACTTTCCACAAAAAAACCCACACCAGAACAAAACCCAAAAAACTCTTCTATGTACAAACTTACAGAAATAAAGGGCTCTACATCTTATTGTTGGTGTTGATTGAAAGAGCAGTGATAGACCGATATACCATTAATAACCACAGCAATCACTGATGGACAATAAATCTTATAGCTACATAGATTTTTTTTCTTCCCTGATTTATTAGTTTTCATAGTGGAAAACGTGCATTGGCCTGAAAGCAATGTGAGAGATGCTGTGAAAAATTCTCCATGTATTGCCTTAGTGCCTACCTTCTGCAGACCTCTTCCTGCAGTTCTCCAGCCTTAGGGAGATTGTTCTCCTGGTCAGGAAGACAGACACACCTGCTGGATATGGCACTGGTTTTCACATTTGAGGGGATGTGTTTCACAGCTTTTGCATTTCCTTGGCTAAGGCTACGAGTGCGTGGATGCAGCCAGCCGTGGAAGTAAACCTATTCCAGTCTGAAGAGTTGTAGGCACATGATGCAAGCTCTAGATGTCCTGTAGCACAGCACCACGCCTGCGAACTAACTTCATAACAACTGGGAAATTCTGGGGGGGCTTCCTAAAGCCTACCTTTAAAAACACAGCTTGTTTGTCTTTCACACTTTCCAAAACAGCCTGCTTGTGGGCAGATACCTTCAAAGAAGTAGGAGACAGACCTCAAAGTTTGCTTCTCGCAGCTTCTGTTGAGGATTCCCAGCTCAGCTGAACTGGGGAAAAAAGGGAAAAAACCCTAGTTTTTCATATAATATAATGCCTCAAAGATTTCGTATACCTGTGTTCAAGACTGACACCCAAGGCTGGACAAAATCAGGTATGCAAATGGAATAACTTACAAACCATTCCTGCTGTGGAATGTATTCTTTTTCTGGTCCAGTGGCCTGTAAACCTCTGATCTAATATAACAGTTTTGTTTTCTTAATGCATCACCTGCTTTGACACCTGACATTGCCATGTTTGATTTATAGCCTCTTCTTTTCAAGTCATTTGACTTCCTATGAAGTGGATTGGGTCACTTAGAAAAATGTAGTCCTGTACTGAATTTCATGAACGTACTGCTACTCCCAGTGTGTTCTGGGATCCCTAAACAAAGTGCCAGTATCCTGAAAGCTCAAAGGCTACCAACTTAAACATCTGATCTGTTCCTATGCAATATAGCACAAAACAAGAAAATATTATTTTTAAGAGACTCTCTGAGGTACACGCTATGTGTTGTACTGATCCTAGATATGGCAGGCAATCAAAAGTACAATCATAGAATAGTTTGGGTTGGAACGGACCTTTAAGGGCCATCTAGTCCAACTCCCTGGCAATGAGCAGGGACATCTTCAACTAGATCAGGTTGCTCAGAGCCCCGTCCAACCTAACCTTGAATGTTTCAGGAACGGGGCATCTACCACCTCTCTGGGTAACCTGTTCCAGTGTTTCACCACCCTCAGCACAAAAAGTTTCTTCCTTATATTTAGTTTAAATCTGTTCTCTTTTAGTTTAAAGCTATTACTTCTTGTCCTATTGCAACAGGCCCTGCTAAAAAGTTTGTCCCCATCTTTCCTGTACAACTTGTTTAGATACTGGAAGGCTGCTATAGGTCTCCCTGGAGCCTTCTCTTCTCCAGGCTGAATAACCCCAACTCTCCCAGCCTGTCCTCATAGGAGAGGTGCTCCAGCCCTCTGACAAATTTTTGTGGCTCTTCTCTGGATCCGCTCCAACGGGTCCATGTCTTTCCTGTGCTGCACTGTGCAGAAGGAGGAGAAAAGCCCTAATAGCACTGTCAGTATTTCAGGGGCTTGTCAATAGCTACAGAAAGTGCAGAACAAAAAAGTTGCATCCAAAAGACTTGAGAAATTGATATAAAGACAAAAATGGACATGCAGAAATGGATTATAAATACTTAATTTATAGTAAATATAATCTAAACATTATCTGTGCTGCTACATTTCCTGGAATATTTTTAGCTGGGGAACAGACAGTAGCACAGCTTGTGGGTTATAACCCCTATTTAAAGACCAATCAAGTCAGAGTAGAAGGCTGTGGTCTCATTTTGATGCACAAATCAAAGGTGATTCTATAGTACAATGTCTTATAAACGTGGTCCACAAGCAATGCCACAGACTGGTGCACTCATTTATTTTGCATTATCCCATGTTCCTAATAATACCACTGACATAATGCTGCTAACAGTAGAACCCCAACCACTGTAATGCTGCCCAAGTCCTGTTGACTTCAAGGGAGCGACACATACATCCAGCACGTGTCTTGTTTTGCTGTTTGGGGTTTTTTCATTTTATTTCAGAAAGCCTGTTGTTTTTGTTCCCGCAGGAAACCTTGGAAGCCAAACAGAGTTCCTGATTTATCAGCATGGATAAATCGTTTCACCTGTGTTAAACCTTGGTGCCCCTTCAGACTGCTACTACAATGTCACGCTGCAGCGCTGAGCTGGTTCAGGCTCTTGTACCACTCAAAGCACGTCAAAAATAAGATGATAGCACATATCACCTATTCAGCTGCAAACTACCCTCCCAGAATGATGGTAGAAACGTTAACGCTCCAGTCATTTATAGCTCATTGTCCAGTCACATTGTATGCCATTGGACCAGAAACTTCCTCACTGGAATGAGATGGAGAAGGAGTAAATTCCAGCTCGTATGACTTAGTACAAAGAAAAGCAAAGAATGGTTGAAACCTGGATGGCTGAATAAAGTGAGCATGACTGAAAAATAGGAGGTTGAACCCTAACACTGCTGACCGAGCCAGGATAGTTCTTCACATTTTCTGGACAAAGATTCTGAATTTCAGGCATGAAAGTATGCAGTGCCTGGAAAGGAGAGACAGACGCAGATGGCACCTGGGAAAGCTGCTGGTCTACAAGTGTCTCAGGTGGACAAACAGAGCAGCAGGGACAGGGAACTGATCAGCATTTCGAATACCAAAAGAGAAAAAAAACATCAGCAGCAGCAGCGCAGCATTCCAGAGTAACTTCTTTAATTTGCCTGGAGATAATATGAATCACATCTGACTAGTGATTTTTTTAAATTCTTAATTCAAGACTAAATGGATTGGTACTTGATGCATGACTCTTCATCTTTTTAGATACCATTGCTCCGGTAATGACTTGCATTACTCACTGCTTTTATCCTTAGGGTTTTAGTGAATGAGCTACATATTAAGCAATTGCACTTTACAATGATTACACTTTGCAAAATCACTAGAGGAATGAAAGCTGGCAACCATCAGAGCTTACTACTTGTGTGAAACACACAGAATAGACAGAGGTTAAATTCATAAGAAAAGGTGCTCTGTATTGGGACTCTGTAGGAATTTTGATAAAGCCATTATAAAAACTAGGATTTCAGAAAATCATTGTAATTAATTACAGCCAGAGAATGAAACACAGGCATTCTTGGGAAGCAACCCCCCCTCTCTCATCCTTATACTCCAGATCCCACTTATTTTATGGTATCAGTGGTACCAGCATCTGTTGTGGAATTCACACCTCACTGCAGGTTTCTCTCCCAGAATCAAACGTGCACTTTTCAAAGATTTTATTTCCAACTTCTATTTCAAAATAACCTTTTGGAAATAAACACGGGGTAACAGTGCAGTATTGTCTCCCAAGTTTGCAAATAGCTTGGAAAAAATACATCTCAGACACTCAGATTTTTCCTGTCCAATTTGACAGTACAAAATCTAGAGAAATTCAGACAATCACTTTGCTCGCCTACCAGAAGTAATGGCCTATGTGGCCCTGTGTCTTGCTGACATAAAACTCCTCCCAGAACTGACTTCTCCCTCCAAAAAGAAAGCCATTCTGCAAAGATAGGGGAAAAGGGTCCAGTCTCAGTGACCAGCAAACAAGGCTCTGTTCCAAAATGCAGACCCTGCTTGTCACAGTGCCCTTCACTCTCAAGAGATAAAGACCTAAATTGCAAAAATCTACATTTTCTCCCTCTGCCACTATGTGTGGTAAAGTCATGTCTTCTATCTGTAAATCTGCCAGATGCACGTTTTGGGGACAGCGTGAACTAACCACCACTCACGTTGCGCCAGCCCCAAAGCCCTCCATCTCTCTGCCTCTCCAGGGGTCCCCACCACAACCTGGTTTGCCACTGGAGGGAACCAGAAGAGCCTGCAGCAACTGATAACCTAATCTAG